CGCTTTACGGGTCAGCGCGGCCTGCCGAGGCCCTGGCGTCCGGTGCTCACGCAGTCGCCGGCTCACCCTCTCCCTCCTTTTCTTCCTCGTGGCCCTGGGCACAATAACGCAGCCTTTCCCAGCCTTCCTCTCCTCTGACAGCCCACTCTCGCCCTCTCGGGCTGTGCTGTGGTTCCGGTGAGTTCTTCGATGTCTGGGGTTGGGCCTGATGCACCCCAGGAGCCTCCTCAGCGCCCCAGTGAGCAGCATCTGCTTGCAATCTAACAGATGCTCCCAAAACGTCAGCTGTTCCGAGGTCAGCCATTATTCTGGACCAGTGGTCAACAGAGCCAAATATCAACAGGACAGCGATTGAAATGTCTTTCGAGAGCCAAGTTTTTAAAACTTAAACTTCTTCTAACGCCACTTCTTCAAAATAGACTCGCTCAGGTCGTGGTATTTTGTGGAAGAGCCACACTCAAGGGGCCAAAGAGCCGCATGAGGCTCGTGAGCCGCAGTTTGCTGACCACGGCTCTGGACGGACAAGGCTGTACTGCATGGGCTGTTCTCAAGTGTGTGCGTGTGTTGGGGAGGGGGGGGGGTGTGTGTCTCCTTCCCATTGGAACCCAGGCTCCCTCTTCTGTCCTGACTTCCTGGGGAGATGCTGTCTGTGAGCTCAGCCCCAGACCTACACACGGGCCCAGAAGCTCCGGGGGTGCTGGGTTACTGGAAACCCATCCTGGGAGCCCGTTATTAATAAAAGTGGCTCACATTTGCATGCGGCAGGCACCCTTTCAGACACTAAGCATGACCAGCTCACAGGTACCGCCACCAACCCATTCTACAGATGAGGGGGCTGAGGGTCAGCGAGGGAGGCCCTGGGGCTCCAGAGACAGCGCTGCGGTACCCGCCCGGCTCCTGCACTGAAGCATGAATGAGCTCTTCAGGTGTCCCCCGAGCCTGTGCGATCGGAGGCTGTGGTACACCGGAGGGAGATCCGTCCCCGCGCAGCGGGGCAGCTGTGTGAGCCTGTGGCCCAGACGCTTAGGAAACCTTGGGGCTGAGACCAAACTGGTCATGGCTTGGGTTATGGCCTCTGTTTAGGCTGATTGAAAAGCAACCCTTAGACATGAAAGAAATAAGCAAGTTTCTGTCGTGGGCACTGTGGGTGCCCCACTCAGACTCCTGAGATCCCTTTTGGGGTTCTGTGATCCACTTCCGACTCCCTGGTCTCCCTGGGAGACAACCGTGACACCTCCCTTCACACAGGGGCACGTCTCAGAGTTTACTTCTATAAGAACCCCAGCTCAGTTTCTCGCAGACCTTATCAGAGCCTTTGTCACGCTTTGGTGATTTAAAAGTTTCCCAAAGAGGAAAAGTAGGTAATGTTTTGGAAATTCCTTTAACCCAAACACCACCTCTCTTGCTAAAACCACCCGCCCGAGCTCGCGTTGCCCGTTGCCCGGGGCTCCCTGCCCTACAGCAGGGGCAGGAGGAATTGGCCAAGGTCTCGGGCAGCTCCGTGGGGCAGCTCCGTGGGGCCTGGGAATTGTTGCCGAGGGCGGTGGAGGCAGATGACCAAAGAACTAAACCAGCCTCGTTCCAAAGATTGTAAAATTTATTGTGTAAGTATTGCAGCTCTTCAGAATGTCATCCTCGTCACTGACGATTATTGATAACAAGCCATCATCAGGCCCGTGGCCTGGCGTCGAATACAGAGGCTACCCCTGCAGCGGCAGCGGCGTGAGCCCGGTCCAGTCCAGTGACACGGACAGTTTGCAATTTGACGAAGTCGGGACACAGGCGGCAAAGGCGAGCATTCCGGCGCCAAGGACACCGGTGGGCGCCGCCATCGCACACCGCTGCGGGGTCCGGCGGCCTTCACAGCCCCACGATCACAGCATCGTCTGAAGCCCAGGTTCCGGAGGATGACAATTCTTCCCTTGTCACTGGGATGTTTTATGGGCCCGGAAGCTTTGCGTTACATGTAGGAAAGAGGAATTTCTGAAACACAGAATTCACAGACAAGACGAACAAGGACGGGGACGGATGCGGTGCTCGCCTGGCCCTGGTGCTCGCTGCCCGGGAAGGGGTGGCTTAGCTCTGAGCACAGACCCTGGGCTCTGAGGGACGTGGACGGCTCACCGTGGATTTTGCCGAGTCCATGTGCCCGGCTTGGTGGGAACGGGTGCGGGGATGTGATGACTGACAGGCAGGAAAACAATGAGCATTACAGACAGCCGAGCTCCACCCCTTTTCTGAGCCCAACCCGGTCCCCTCCAACCAGCACTTCTAAAGACCCCCCAACCCTCTACCGGCAACAGGGGGCCTCCTGAGGGTGCGCAAAGGCTTTTCAAAGGTAACAGCCTGACAGTGGACACCTGGAGGAAATCGTGCCCTCCCCCCCACCCCAGCTCTGGGGTCCAGAGAAACCCAGAGCTTAGCTACGGCGCCAATTTCTGGAAACACACACCACTGTTCTCTTGCGATGTACGCCCCAGCTGTCACCTGCTGGGCTCGAGCCCCGCATGGCGACCTGGCCTGCAGCACCAGCACTGACTGGGCTGATCAGAGGAGCCAGCTCTGCCCTCCAACCGTCTGAGGTCGGCTGCCAGCTTCCTCCTCACTCTGCAACTACAGCAGCTCGGACCAGACCAGTAAGGAGGTTCAGAGGACCCAGGGGCGCTGCACGCTGGCTTTTGGCTGATGCCGTTCACACAAACGAGGCCCACTTCCAGGTTTCCGCCCTAGGGGGATGGGGGGCCAGGGAGGATGGGGCAGCAGGGGCCGCCTGGCCCAGGGAGGAGCGCAGGTGGAGGGCAGTGGGCTGGGATGAGGGAGGGCAAAGGGGGTGTGAGAAGCAGCAGCCTTTGCGGGCCAGGAGCGGGAGGCGAGTCCGGGCGACCGGAGCCAGTGCTTCCTCAGTAAGGCACTAGGGGGCTCCCGGAAACGTACGTTTAAAACCGTCCCTACAAACTGTCCCTGTCCTGTAGGCACAGGTGGCAGGGCGTCTGCGCGGCCCTAGGAAAGAACCCTCTCGGAGGGCAGCACGCTCCAGGAAGACCACGGAGAGGTGGGCGCCCCTGCCAGGCTGGCCGAGGACACAGTGGCTGCGCCTGGTGCTCGGCTGTTTGTGGAGTGTGTCTATAAACAGAGTTCAAATGGTCAGAACATCAAAACTGTTCCCCGGTTTTCATTTTTCAAGTAATAAAATAGTTGCTTAAAAACAATAGTTATAGCTTCCCCTCTCTCTCACGTCCGCCGGCTATTGGCATTCTGCCGGAAATGAGGACACCTCCGTGGGTGGGGGTGGGGGGTGGGGGTGAGGGCTGCCGGATGGGGGGTCACCTCTCATGGAGATTAGCGAGTCCTCACTGGGAGAAAGGGCTCGGGCTCCAGCTCCAGCCACCGTCCTCGGCAGACGCCAAGGGACCCCCAACTCCACTTCCTGCCATTCAGCTCTATTCGCACACATGTGTGCCCTCGCACACCCACGAGGGGTCTCTCCACACCCCAATCTACTCAGGAGAACCCGGTAAACAGGAGTGGTGTCTGAGGAAGATGCTGACGGGAACACAGGGAGAGAAACACATGACAGAACTGCGTCCAGGAGGAACGGGATGGAGAGAAGGCGGAGGACCCGCTGTCAAGCAGGGGTGGGGAAGCTTTATTCATCCGCGGACCACCCAAAATCACCCCCTTAGAACCTAGCCCGCGATGCTCGGTCAGACATTTAACTCGCTCACCCCTGAGGCCTTGGCAGGGCCAGACCCAATGACTTCCTGGGTCTTACAGGGCCCCTGGGCCAATGTCCCCAGCCCGGGCCTACAGCCTCAAGCGCGGGGTGCAGAGGCTGAGACGGCTCCTCTGCTCGTCCTGGGAGTGTCGCTTCTTCGCCTCTGATCTTGTGTTTGGCCCATTTAGTGGGAATCATACATGGAGAGCAAGAGAGGGAGGAGGCACAGGCCTAAGACTCTGGGCCTTTCCTGCAGCCAGTGGACTGCACAGACCTTAACCGACCCATTATGGGGCCATCACCGAATTCTACACACCAAGCCGTCTGCCCCCTCGGCGTGTCCATAGCAGCACCTTCGCCCCCGCCTATGGGGACCTTCATGATTAAAAATAAAAAATAGGAGGGAAAATTCAAATTCCTTCGGTAACAGTTTATTTCATTTGGGGAAGCAAAGCCACCACCTGGAACTCGGTGCCTCTATTTCATGCGATTCAAAGGCTGTTCTGACCCCGAGGAGGAGGCGTGTACTCCTCGGGCGGGAATGTGTGAGGAGGGAGAGCCCACCCCGGGCACAGCGCCCGCGACAGACGGCTGCACTGTCCCAGCCCCTCTGCCCACTGCCACGCGCGCGACATCTCTCCCTCAGAGTCTCGACAAATGCGATAAAAGTTTCCGTCCAACAAGCACTGACATAGTTATATTAAAAAATAGTGCAAAAGCTCAACATTTATATAAATAACTCTAGACCCCTGCTCTGTCATTGCTCTCTTTACAAGGTGAATACACACGCTCCGAGCAGCCGCTCCTCTCCTAGCTCAGGAGCCGGCCTGTGTGTGTGTTCAATAGGACTCTTCTAATACAAAAATACTCCTGCCCTCAGACATACAGCTTCTCTTACTTTATATAGACTTTTATATATAATATTGCAGATCTTTAAACAAAGGTTTTGTGCAAATACGTTTTTCTTTTTAAAGTTAGGTGAGATCGTCATGAACAAACGAAAGGAAGCCTTCACGAAGCTGGACTAGCAACAGAAAAAAAGACTAGGGTAGAATTGTTTCTTCTCTTTTTTTGCCTTCAAGACGGGGCTCAGCAAAGAAACATGGTCTCTGTGTGTGTGTGTGTGTGTGTGTGTGTGTTGGCTGTCCTGCAAGCTTTCGGAGCTTGTGCATCCGGCCCAGACAGACACGTGACTATTTATACACGGGGAGGGGGAGGATGGCCCCCCCCCCTCTCCTTCGAAGTGCGAGTGTGTGCCTCTCACCCACCACGGCCGGCGCCGGGCCTAGAGGGGGTGTCCCTTCTGCTTCTCCTCGGGGCTCCAGGCGGCGAGGTGCGCGGGGTGCAGCCGGGCCCCCTCCAGCAGGGCGGCCGGCCCGCTGCCCGGCTGGTGCGGGAAGGCGGCGGCGCTGGCGTAGTGCCCGATGACCTCGCTGTAGGTGGGGGGCGGCCCCTCCATGCGCCCGCCGCCCCCGTAGCACGTGGCGCTGATGCCCGAGTTGCTGCTGGGGGGACAGGGGCCGCCCAGCACGGCGCTGTCCATCAGGTCGCTGTCGAAGATGGTCCTGTTTGGGGGCGCGCGCACCGACTCGCGGTTGAGCTCCAGCTGCTGCTCGGGGTCCCGCAGCTGGAGGGTGCAGGGGCCCTGGTAGGGCGGCGGCTCCTCCCCGTCCGACAGCGAGATGGTGGGCGGCAGGTCGATCTCATGCTGCAGGTAGGGGTAGGTGGGCTGGAAGCGGTGGAAGCGGTCCCGCTGGGCGAAGGGCGGCGCGGCCAGGCGGTCCGTGGGCCTCGGCGGGGCGTAGACCTGAGGCTGGAGGGAGGGGAGCAGAGTGAGGGTCCCCGGAAGCAGGGCCCGAAGCAAGGATGGGTGTGCGACCCTGCTCTCTGGGGAAAGGGGGGAGGGCGGGGCGAGCCTGGAGCCTGCCTCCACCTGAGCACCGCACCCTCCTGCGACCCTGGCCTAGGGTCCTCAGAGCGGAAGGGGCCGCCTGGCTGGTCTGGGGCAGACACGGACTGCTCCCTGGGGGAGGGGCGTCCTGTCCGGGCAGGGAGGCAGCCACCGCGCGTTTCTTCAGAGAAGGCAGAGGGTGAGCCTGCGGCAGCCGGCGGTTCAGGCCCGGGAAGGGCACGCTGGGCTGGGGCCTCTGGTCCGCCGAAGCACTTTGGAGGGCAGGTATGGAGGGCAGGAGGGGGAGGGGGTAGCAGGCGCACTGAGGCTCACCTCGGGGATCCCACTGCCGGATACAGTGCTCTCTGAGGGCCAGAGGCATCCTTCCTGTGGGAGGAGAGAGGCCGGTCAGTGGATGAAGCACAGCCGAGAGCCAAGGGTCCACCCGGTTCTGACCCTGGGACCTCTGTTTGGAATGAGACCTCACACTAGCCACCTCTCTTCAACCCCACCGGGCTCCTCCTCTGTCCCCGAAAATGCATCCTCCAAACTTTCTAAAACATGCACTGACCCTCCTTTCTCTGAACCTGCCAGCGCCTCCTGCGGACCTTAGAATAAACCCAAAGTCACCCAGCTAGCTGCTAAGAAAGCCTGGCTGGATCTAGCCCTTCTGGCCTTGCCCATCCCTGCCTGGCGTGTGCCATGTTGGCGAGAGGCTGGATTCCAACCTGAAGGAATGGAGCGCACAAACTGCTCAGAGTACACGGCGCTCTCTGCGAGCACATGAAAACACCCGACCCATCACCAGCTGTCTCCAGCCCTGCTGACTGCTACCAAGTGCAACGAAATGCCAGGTGTGCACCTCAGGGCCTTTGCATGGCCAGCTCCTTGTTTTTTCTTTTTATCCTCAGACGAGGATATGTACATTGCTTTTAGAGACAGGTGGGGAGGGAGAGAGGGAAGGAGGAGAAAGAGGGAGATGTGTGAGGGAAACATCGGTCTGCTGCTTCCAGGATGTGCCTGACTGGGCATCAAATCTAAGACCCTTCTTGCACGGGACAATGTTCTAACCAATTGAGCCGCCCAGCAGGGCTCCTTACTTTCTGATCCCAGTGTCCCCTGCAGACTTCCTCTGACACCATACCCGGAAGGCCCTCACCCATCACAAATCCTGTCCTCTAATGAGCTCCGTCACAAGACATATCGTCTGCTTGTTTATTTAGCTCTTGACTGTCTTGGCCTCCCTCCTGTGAGCCCAGGTTACAGGTGAAGAAACACAGGCTTTAACCAGGGAAGCCCTGCCTCGCTGCTTTGCCACGACATGATTCAGTGAGTCAACAGACGTGGATGTGGCCCCACTTCTGCGCCAAGCTCTGGGCCAGGTGCCAGGCGTGTCGCTGCCACCTCATGAGGCTTATGCCCTCTGCCCTGAAACTCTGGGTGGGGCCTGCAGCTCCCCTGGGGAGCAGACAGGGCTGTCTCCAGACTCCAGTCTGCGCACAGGCAGCCAGGCTGTACCGGCTCGGTGTGAGTTTCAGCCACGCTGCTGGCTCCCTCATCCCTGCTATCTGCTGCGGGCAGCGTCTGTCCTGCTCAGGCCACCCCCGACCTTAGCCCGTCAGGGGTTAGACAGTGAGCCACCTCAGAGGGTCTGGGGACAGGAAACAGCATGCTCTGCAGACATCGGGGCCTCGGCTCCCAGCAAGCCGGAAACCCTGCCCGAGGTTCCGGGTCCTCTATCCTCTGACGAAAGGCCCCTCCCTCTGTACTGGGATCCCTGTTTCATGAGGGCCAGGGAAGTGGGACCCCCACACCAGGATCAGTTCATCTGAGGGGCAAAAAAACCCTAAAAATTAAAGCTAGCTTTATGGAGATACACCTGACATATCATAAACTGCACATATTCAAAGTATATAACTTGGTTAAGTTTTGGCATATGTATATACCAGGAACCCATCACCACAATCAAATAACAAACACACCCATCATCCCATTAATTTCACTGGGGACACTTTTTCTGGAGGGGTTCCAAAGTTGGGGATTCCCTGGAGGGCTGCAATTTCCGACATGGCCACTAGTGGGGCCTGTGTCTCTCAAAACTGTCCCAACAGGAATGCACTGACTAAACCATGAAGACACATTGGGGCCTAGCATGTTCCAGGCATGGGGGTGCAGACAGCAGACATACATGTTACTGTTAATACGGTCGTCAATGGCCATCTTGGTACTAATATTAATTAACAATGCCATCTCAATTGCTGCCTTGGCGTCAGGCACTGTGGTAAGCTCTTTAAGCATCATTTCAATTCTCCCAAAAACCATCCACCTGCTCCCAAGTGGAGTCGGGAGCCCAGGGGAGGAGTGCAAGCAGCCACGGGGTCTTGGATGAAATATGACCCATACAAGCCTCCCTAAAAGCCTCCCGTGAGGCCCTCCAGCCAAGCCCCAGCAGGACATGGCCGCCAACACCTCTTCCCCCACTTGCAGCCCCACCGATGGAGCCCTAGCCCGGAGGTTCTCCACCTGGCTGCAAAGTAGCACCACCCAGGGAGGTTATGAAAACACCCATCAGCGCCTGGGTGGCCCATGGCAGACCCAGAACCATCCACCATCCTTGCCACTGACTACGCCACTCGTGCACCTCCTCCTTCAGAATTCCGGGAACCGCCCACCAGGCCAGATGCCTGGCTGGAGGCTCCCACAGCACCCCAGCTCCCCACCAGCCTGGCCCTGTGCACAGAAACCCTCTGCCATGGCGGCCCTGCACTCAAGTAGAACCCCTGCCAAGCGGCCATCTTCCTTCCTCGCCTTGTTCCCCAATTCAGTGAATGGCCCCAACATCTTTCCAGATGCAAATGCCAGACTCTCAGGGTTGTTCCTGACAGTGCCCCACTCCCATCCCCTCCACGTCCAGGCTCCATCCTTTTTTTTTTTTTTTTTTTTAGAAGCTTCCCTGTGGTGAGCCCGTCCAGCTTGGCATGGCTTCCCCATGTAGAATCAGGAGTCTGCAAACTGTTTCCTTAAAGGGCCAGAGCCCTAACCGGTTTGGCTCAGTGGATAGAGCGCCGGCCTTTGGACTCAAGGGTCCCAGGTTCGATTCCAGGCAAAGGCATGTACCTTGGTTGCGGGCACATCCCCAGTGGGGGCTGTGCAGGAGGCAGCTGATTGATGTTTCTCTCTCATCGATGTTTCAAGCTCTCTATCCCTCTACCTTCCCCTCTGTAAAAAAATCAATAAAATATATATAAAAAGTAAATAAATAAAGGGCCAGAGAGTGAGCCAGTTTCTGCTTGGTGGGGCAGACCGTCTGTTAGGTCACTAACAGCGTTGCTCTGGGGCAGACACAGCCACCGGGGAAGATTCCATGGAAATGGGCTTGACTGCGTGCCAGTGAGGAAACAAATACCCAGAAAGTCATCTAGAAAAGGGCCACGGCAGGGCACCCAGGCCCAGCCCCAGGCAGACGGTGGCAGGGTTTGAGTCTCTCTGGGAGGTTGCTGGACCAGAGATTCCTCAGACACGCCCTGTCTGGCAGGGGGTCCCCCCCGAGAGCTGCCACCCTTTCATCAGGCCTAACAAGGCTGTGTTTACCATCCAGGCGCCCCTGGGGTCCCGTGCAGGTGGTGGTGGTGGGGGGGTGCCTTTCTTTTTGCCCCGGGTACCCTGAACAGAGCTGCCTCCCCGGGGCCCCTGCACCTCCACACTGTGGCCAGCTTCACCCTCCAGGACCAGAGGCTGGGCCACCGGGGGCGGCGGGCGAGAGGCCAGCTCCCCTATTGACAGGTGCTCACCGGGCTAGGTGGGAAGGGGACCCGCCTGGAGCATGCCTATAGGGTCGGCCTGTAGGGCTGGTGCACTGTCCTTTGTGCCAAAGGCCCTCACGGGCTCCAGCCCTGAGGGAACAACAGAGAGGAGGACAAAGGGGCGGTGGGCTCTTCCAACCTCTCAAAGGGCCACCGAAAAGCCGTGAGGCCTCGGAGCGGCCGCTCCTTGCCCTGGCGACCTGGTGGCACACGGAGGCTGCGGCCTCATGGAAGCGGAGATGCCAGAACCTGCCGGGCCAGGCCTGCCTGCGGACTTGGCTCCGCCGGGGACCCGGGAACCGGGAGGCCAACCCCAGCGCCACCTTCTGTCTCCTCGTTGTCCTCCCGGAGCCCAAAGAACACGGCTGAGATGTGCCCGCCTCAGGCTGCCTGTGAGCCGCCTCCTCCATTCCCAGCTGCCCTCGGACCCCAGCGCCTACCCCACGCTCTCACACGGTGAGACTGAAGCCCCGTGTCATGAAGGAGGGACTGGTCCAAGGGCACACGGTCAGGACCGGAGACTGGGATTGCACTCGGCCCCGGAAAGGACCCTTCCCCGGTGACCTGCTGCCTCCAAGGTGCCGAGTCCCCGCCCGTCTGCCCGGCCTCAGCCTGAACCCGGAGCTCCGTCCCCTGCAGGTCCCGGACCCCGGCGTGGGGCCCCGGGCGCGCCCCGAGGCGGCACTCACCGAGGACAGGGCGTCTTCCCTCCTCCGGCCCTGGCTGTGCCGGCCGATGAAGGAGCGCGCGGACAGCTTGTAGTGGCTGAGCAGGCACGTGATCACCACCACCATCACCATCACCACCACCACGATGATGGTGATCTCCACGAACTCCAGCTCCGCTGCAAGAGCAAGGGGACGCGTGAGCCCTGGGAGCCAACCCCACACGGCCCCCCACACCAGCCCACACGGCCCCCCACACCAGCCCACACGGCCCCCCACACCAGCCCACACGGCCCCCCACACCAGCCCGCAGAGGCCCTCGGCTCCTGCAGACGCCCCCACGCACAGAGACACACACAGTCACACCACAGTGATACCACACACACACAGTCACACACCACACACAGTCACACCACACACACACACAGTCACACCACACACACACACACAGTCACACACCACACACACACACAGTCACACCACACACACACACACAGTCACACCACACACACACACACAGTCACACCACACACAGTCACACCACACAGTCACACACACACACACAGTCACACACACACACACAGTCACACCACACACACACACACACCACACAGTCACACACCACACACAGTCACACCACACACACACACAGTCACACACCACACACAGTCACACCACACAGTCACACCACACACACACACACAGCCACACCACACAGTCACACCACACACACACAGTCACACCACACACGGACACACGGACAGGAGTGCTCAGAACAACCAAGAGGCTCAGAACAACCAGTCACTGCGACTACAGGTACTGCAATTTTTTTTAAAATATATTTATTGATTTTTTTTTTTTTTTTGCAGAGAGGAAGAGAGTGGGATAGAGAGTTAGAAACATCGATGAGAGAGAAACATCGACCAGCTGCCTCCTGCACACCCCTACTGGGGATGTGCCTGCAACCAAGGTACATGCACTTGACCAGAATCGAACCTGGGACCTTTCAGTCTGCAGGCCGACGCTCTATCCATTGAGCCAAACCAGTTTCGGCGGTACTGAGATTATTATTCCCGGTTTTGTTTCGTTTCCCCTCGTAGACAGAAAACCCCTCAAGTTCTGGGAAAGGAAGGGTGTTTTGATCTTGCCAGAGGTTTCTGCTGACTCAGCAGGTCCCTGTTGAGGGGCTTGGCAGGTGGCCATGCTGGTGCCAGCAGAGCCTCCCCCTCAGCCCCCCAGCAGGTGACACTGGTGACAGACCTGCTGGGACTGGGTGCTGACATGCAGAGGGGCCACTAGCCAGCAAGTGCTAGCCTCCCCAGCCTGCTGGGCAGAACGCCCTGCCCAAGAAGCAGAGGATGGTGCCTCCTGACCCAGACGGACAAGGAGACTCCCCAATGCCACCAGTTCTCCAGAGCCACTCGCTGAGGGGCCCCAGGGCAGGTTCGAGCTCACAGCCACTTGGCTCAGCGTTTTTTTTCGCCTCCAAGACAGGTGAGTGGGCGGGGTGGGATGGGCTGCAGTGAGGGGGGGTGTGGCTGCAGTGAGGCGTGGCTGTGGCTGCAGTGAGGCGTGGCTGTGGCTGCAGTGAGGGGGGCTGTGGCTGCAGTGAGGGGGGGTGTGTGGCTGCAGTGAGGCGTGGCTGTGGCTGCAGTGAGGGGGAGCTGTGGCTGCAGTGAGGGGGGCTGTCAGTGAGGGGGTGTGTGTGGCTGCAGTGAGGGGGGCTGTGGCTGCAGTGAGGGTGTGTGTGTGGCTGCAGTGAGGGTGTGTGTGTGGCTGCAGTGAGGGGGGTGTGTGGCTGCAGTGAGGGGGGTGTGTGGCTGCAGTGAGGCGTGGCTGTGGCTGCAGTGTGGGGGGCTGTGGCTGCAGTGAGGGGGGCTGTGGCTGCAGTGAGGGGGGCTGTGGCTGCAGTGAGGGGGGCTGTGGCTGCAGTGAGGGGGGCTGTGGCTGCAGTGAGGGGGGCTGTCAGTGAGGCGTGGCTGTGGCTGCAGTGAGGGGGGTGTGGCTGCAGTGAGGGGGGTTGTGGCTGCAGTGAGGGGGGCTGTGGCTGCAGTGAGGGGGGCTGTGGCTGCAGTGAGGGGGGCTGTGGCTGCAGTGAGGGGGGTTGTGGCTGCAGTGAGGGGGGCTGTGGCTGCAGTGAGGGGGGGCTGTGGCTGCAGTGAGGGGGGCTGTGGCTGCAGTGAGGAGGGTGTGTGGCTGCAGTGAGGGGGGCTGTGGCTGCAGTGAGGGGGTGTGTGGCTGCAGTGAGGCGTGGCTGTGGCTGCAGTGAGGGGGGGCTGTGGCTGCAGTGAGGGGGGCTGTGGCTGCAGTGAGGAGGGTGTGTGGCTGCAGTGAGGGGGGGGCTGTGGCTGCAGTGAGGGGGGCTGTGGCTGCAGTGAGGTGTGGCTGTGGCTGCAGTGAGGGGGGCTGTGGCTGCAGTGAGGGGGGCTGTGGCTGCAGTGAGGGGGGGCTGTGGCTGCAGTGAGGGGGGGCTGTGTAGCACTCTGTCTCTAACGGGGCCCACCCCAACTCCAAGCCCTGCAAGACCAGCCCCTCTGGACTCTGGTCTGTCTTCCGGAGGGTTCCAGCGCTGAACGTTGCTGTTGGCCCAACCACAGAAGCCACTCCACACACAGCTACACCCTCTGCGAGCCCAGCCCCTCACCCTGCGGGTCTCCAGGGTGCCCACCGCTCCTTACATATCTGCCCACTGGCACCATTAGCAAGTCAGTCAGGCAAGTCTGCCCCCTCCTCCCAGGGGACATGGGGCAATATCTGGGGACAGGGTGACAGTCACAACAGAGGTGCCCCTGGCATGTGGTGGGCAGGGGCCAGCAGTGCTGTGCAACCTCCTGCGTGCACAGAATGCCCAGCGATGGGATGACCCGGAGCCGTGCACGGGCATGCCTGTGTGGGCCGTGTGCAGCCCAGGCTCCTTTGCCAGCCGCCTCGGAGGTCAGGTGCCAGACTCTTGTAACCCAAGGGTCCAGGAGTGGTGGCCCCTCCCACGGTCACTGCACCCAGGAATTTAACCTGGAGTTTGGGCCTTGGCGCTGGCCCGTGGGTGGGACTGTGTCTCCTTTTCGCTCTGGGGGGGCAGGCGGGAGGATGGCAGGGGCTTTGGTGTGACAGAGATCCCTGAGAAGGCTGGGGCCCGCCAGGCAGACTCGGCAGGCGCCGCCACCTCCGGACACCCTGAGTTCCTGCCAGGAGGGCGGGCCTGGGTTGGGCAAAGGCCAGGCGTCTGGCCTCAACTCAGTCACTGTGGCCACACCTCCTCCCCCCCAGACAGGCTGGTCCCGGGCCTGGCCGCTTGGCTCCATTCCACAGGGCCAGGTCCCGGCGGTGAGGACCCAGGATAAAGCACCCATTCAGGGACACACAGGCGGCTGTGTGCAACGCCATGGCCTCCCCCGAGGGGCCTGGGACCCCGCCCCCGCCCGGCCCACTCTGCCCCCAGCCCTCCCCCGCTGTCTCAGGGGCCCTGCCCCTGCTGGCCTGGAGGGGGTGTGGGCGCCTTTGTCCCTGCCCGGGCGGCCTGCAGGGCCCAGGCCCAGCTCTGCCCTCCTGCCGGTGTGGCGACAGTGGCTGCGGCACGGGGCCATGGATGGCCCTGCAGACCGAGTGGACGTGAAGAACCCCACAGCTCCACCGAGGGCCGACACGGACCCAGAGGACCTGGTTTCTGGGGTTCCGTGTCCCGAGAGAATCACCTCCAGAAATGAGCACGGGGCTCCTGACAGCACTGCTGTACCCACCCAGGTGCCGGCCACAGCCCACAAGGGCCCGGGCCACAAAACCCCCGTGGCGGGAGAGGGAGAAACTCTCAGAAAAAGCAAGTACGGCTGGTTTGGGCTCATATTCTATGGGGTGTGGGCCCAGAGCAGGGAGGAGACTGGCCGGGGTCCCCGAGCCTCTCTGTCCAGCTCAGTCGCTGGGCCCTGGCCTGGCTCGAGTCCATCCCTGCTGCCCAAGCTGAGGGGAGGGTGAAGGGCACTGCCCGGGAAGCCTGCGGACGGTGAGGTGTCCGCTCAGGGAGCGTGCCCTTAGGGTGACCGTGATTCCTGGGGGCTCACTAGCACCCCAGCGACAGCAAAGCAAGGGCAGCCCAAACCTATCAGCCCGAGGAGGAGGGGGAACCTGGATGCCGCAGACCCCGCCCAGCAAAGGCTCGGGCGGGCAGAGTGTGCAGGAGCCCAGCAGCGGACCCCCGGGGCCGGAGGGCACGCCCTGGGCGGGTTTGGCTTTGGCTGTGGGCGAGGGGACTCCGGTCCTGCTGACAGCACCCCATGCACTCTCACAAGCAGAGGACATGAACCCCCTCTCTGGGACGTGCACCCCGAAAGCACCTGCCGGGAGAGGGTGCACCCACAGTCCCCTAGCCGGGTGGCAGCCACCCTCTGCACAGGCTGTCCCGTTGCTGGCCCAAGCCCCTCCCGGCCCAGTCACCGGCCTGGCCACTGGGGTAGCTTGGGCCTCAGCGTTGTGTGACCCTCACTCTGGCTCCATGGGGTGTGGGAGGGGGGGAGCACTCACAGCACGAGTCCCTCTCCCCGTCCACACAGCCCTCCGGAAGGCGCTGCTGCTGGAACCCCATGGGCCAGAGGGGACAGGGCCCAGGCGGCTCCCCAGTGGGCACCGCCCCATCCCCCCAGAACCTAGGGAGCCTCCAGGAGGCTGCCCGCCTCTAGTGCCAGGGACGCGTCCGAGAGCTTTAAAGACACCGGGAGGCCAACACAGGGCGGCGGCTTCGGGACCTCCAGCCAAAGCGGAGTCCCAGGTCACTCAGCTGCCAATGGTTATGTGCAGGGCCCTGCCTCAGTTTCCCCAGTCTGACAGTCCTCCCTTTACCCGGACAGCAGGCCAAGTGGCCTGGATGGTACATGCAGAGATGGGACCAACCACTGACCTCCGACTTGAGCCCCCAAATCTCCTGTGACCTCAGGACTCAATGCCAGGGCCCGGTCACAAAAGGGACAGAGCGAGAGGGGGTGGGCGGGCTGGTCCACAGTCCCACCCGCAGGACTCATGGCAACTACTTGCGGTAACCACGGTGATGGTGCTAACAGCTGCAGCACGGCAGGCCAGCGCTGGGCTGTTCCCCCGGGTGATGAGGTGGATGCCATCCCCACCCCAGTTTGCAGACCAGCACACTGAGGCTCGGGGAGCAATGCCTTTGGCCAAACCTAGAAAAAGCAGG